GAATTCAAAATTTCATGAGTAAACCTATAATAGTTCATGAGTTATTAAGGTCTGAAAAGTGACATTTTTATCACTTACTGACTCATCAAAAACCTAGGCCACTTATAGATTACTTAGAATCTTTAAATTTGAAATAATGCCATTAAGTTCGCGATCATAGGGCATCCTCTCGAGAACTGAAACAACTGAAAACCACAAATTATCGATGTTCGGTGGGTCACACCTGTCGTGTGTTCGATTGGTGCGGTTAGTCTTACTACTTACCACTTACCTACTTGATAATAGCCGCACCAATAACTTGGCGACATTTTTTTTATAGTTTAAATTAAAAATATAATGCCATGAAACTTAAACGCAAGAAAAAAACGATTAGCGTCATATTATACGTGGTAGAGCCATGCTGCAGCTATATTAGTAGTATAGTTATAGCACGAACGGGTCGGCTCGACCGGGGAAGGACCACGCTCTCACAGAATACCAGCGTAAAATAGCGGCTTAACACTGCTGTGTTTCGTATGGTGAGTGTAGAGAACCGGAGACCCTTTTTACTGAAAAGAGGCATTCCATCTTAGCCCTCATGGGTTACAACGCATCTGCATTTTGATTCACAAACGACGACAGATGTAGATGTCTATGGGCCACAGCAACCACTTACCATCAGGTGGACTGTGTGCTCGTTTGTAACCCTATCCAATAAAAAAATATATTTTAGATTTAGATTAATAAAAATATGAAACTTTTTTAAAAATTATTGATTTATCACCAAAAACATGAATGTGAAAAGTTCGGTACAAACGACGTGTGGGGTTTACGACTTCGCCTACGCTAAGCTCGATAGCAGTTGCTTAATTCATAGGATCTATTAGGAATGTACAGCGTTCTTAGAACTACAATGAAGTTTGTTGCCCGTTTAGATCTAGATCTCGAACGTCGTTTGTTGGAATTTTTTTTAGTTAGTTATTGTTTTGGTGGGATTATAATTTCAAAGAATATTATTGTATTAAAAATTGTTTCGAGAAAGTTAATAAAAATCATATCACGCGAAATGTAATTGCACTAGTATATAATATTATTAATAGAATTCCAATGCCGTCTTTAAGCCTGTCATCACAACTAATATCAGTCATGATTTGACATTGAAAAATCCCAATAACGAATGATGAACTAAGTCCCTTGTACCCCCGATCCGTCCCGTCTTACTTATGAAAACCAAACAGTTTTTGACAAATCTCAGTTATCCCAGAACTTATTCTTAGAATAAAACCTATAATATAAAAACTATCAGTCGTGGGACTGCACATCAGAAGTGAAAACGTATTAATTAATGTAGTAATAAAATTCATTTATTGCGCTGTTGTATATAAAAAAGAATGATTATTATCAAACAAATTTATAAATTATATTATTTATTTACATATCAATTTTATAAAATTCAATGAATTGGATTTTCAACATTACTTTCATAAATTTTATGTATCTGAGCGTGGCGGTGGCTGGACTCCTTTTCTTTCCTTCCTTCCTGCCTTGGAGTCCGTCTGGATATATTATACCATCTTCTTACCTCTTCAGTTTAATTTAAAAAAAATATTGGAACATAACAGTACTGAAAAAAGTAATTGAATATTCTTAACCACAACTAATTAACATATACATTTTAATGGGTCTCGTTACACACGTAACAGGGTAATTAATATCGAAAAAATAAAATTAAAATTCCTGTTACGCAATTATTTTTATAATAACATTCACAGGCCCTTCATTAATTATTAGGAACGGGCGTTACTTTGCGTTGAATCGTTGCGGTGCGATGTAGGGCTACCGTAAATATTTATTAAAACCTCTTAAATACGTAAATTCATGGAATGTCAACGTTTAATATACGCGAAATGAATATTATAACTGTTATTGAGTTTGTTTTATTATTTTATGTTGCAGTTAAAACATTTTTCGTTTTTCGTCAGTCTAATGTTGCCCAAAAGCATAAAATTTTTGAACGAAAATGCAAGACAAAAACGCAAAGTCGTATACTATAACTAATATATTAAGATACAAATTGCATACAAGCTTGGCAATCATTAGGAACACTTTGAAAAAACAACTTAAAAAAAATAACTATACTACACAATACTAAAATCGTCTAAAATATTTACAACAATTTCAAGTGTCAAAATGGCGTCGATAAAGCGGCGCCCTTTTGACCCTTTATTATTTGATTGACTGATGAAGAGCTATCGTATCACAGAGCCATCTGTGCAAACAAGGCTGTAGTTTTCGAGTTTTAAGAAAGTGACCATATTACCCTCACATACTATTACGTATATATTGAAAATGTAATTCTTCTATTCCTGTTTTCTTATTTTATAGAATATTTTATTACTAGAGATAATCGTTTAAGGTTGTTAAAACCATTTAGATTTAATCGCCTTAACTAAAAAAAAAGATTAGCAAGTCGTTTAGCGGCTTTCTTATTACCACGTCCAATTCTCACTAAATTACCGATTTACCGTGAGTCATCAATCGGGACCTAATGCCAACCCAACTATCATCGACTTATGCAAAAACAATCTAAAACTAATATCAACGTTATGGATTCCGGTTTTATTGAAATGTATTTAATACTTGATTTGATAATGTTATATTTTATCCTATGAATAAATTTTAACTGATGATTGTAAATTAATCCCTTAGTAATTTTAATACAAAAGAATTGATGACAGATGTCGAGCAAGTGTCGCATCTTTTCTTTTCTATACACAAGAGGAAAGTACTTATTATTTTATTTTATTTTAAACAACGCTTCATTTTAATATACGCTAATAATTCATTTATCTGTATTTGTTAATCAATAATATAATACGTTTATCAATAATAATATACTTACTACGAAAGGAACTTCGTTCCAATCGAGTGTTCCACGACACTCACGCATGTTTTTTTTTATACTAAATTAACGAACTCTAAGGACTCAGATGGTAATCCCTTACTGCCTACAATTAAACTACTTCATCATTCCCTACAAACCAGAATACAGTAGTGGATTATATTGCTGCATGGCAGCTAACATAAACTCGCCTCATACAAGAGATGCACGTGGTTTCGGTATCCGTAAGACCTCCTATTTTTCAGACCTCTGACCTCTACAAAGAACTCATTGCATTGCTGCGGGCCGAGCCATGAGTAAGAGGACTCTAACAAGCTCCGTCGGTGATGCGAATATTATTAAAAACCTACTTCAAATTATGCAAAAAAATAAATATAGGAACCATCAAAAGTGCCAATGATGCATAAAATTTGAATTATTTTGTGATGGGGTGCACACATTTATTCATAGAAATGAATAAATTATCATATTTTAAAATAATATAGGAAATTGCGCAATTACTGATGTTGTTCTCGATAAAATAGTAAATACAATAAGTCTTTTTATATATTTCTTCCATCAATGCTCTAGTTTTGCAGTGTATTTTATTAGTTTAACCTAAAAGTGATTGTTATACGTCACTAATAAATCATTCCGTTTACAAAAAACCAAATATGGATGGACGTGAGTTGATTTAAAATTAAATTTAATATATCGTCATGTCTATGGTAAACTTGCGAATATGTCATTTTCGCTTAATACCGTTTATTGGCCTAATCTGCCCCCAATGTAATAGAACAACTGTGACTTGTGCATTTACTGATAAAATATATCATAACCTATTATAGATACAGATTTGAAACTTTTCCACAGTATGTATTATTACATTGAGGGCGAATGAGACCAATAAACAGTATTAAGCGACAATGACAGATTCGCAAGTTTGCCATAGACATGACGTATATATAAAATTTATTAATTAATATAAATATAAAATTTATAATAGCCAACTACAACAATAGTTTATAAAAAGTTAAAATGAAAATCATATGAATATGAATGAGTAACTTTTAAAGAAATTAGCATCGCTTTAAATCCGTCTTTCATATAATCTCGCTAGAGTTAACGTCTATGTCTAGTAAATATTTCCTCGGGATATTCATAAAAAGTTACAATTAAATTTGTACAGTTGTTTGTAACAACCTATCCACATAGCATGTAGTGGCGGTGAAAGAAATCCACTAGCCCATACCATCCCATGGGCACTGTAAGAGGCGAAAGAGGAAAACAAACCAAGAGATAGGCAGTAGATAATAAAAAGTAAAAAACTGCGGTTTCCAACCCGCATATCGCGTGCAAAAAGGATCGCTTCCACTCGTATGTAAATTCAGCATGTTGCAACATGTTGTTATTGGGAAGCTGTTCATCGAAATGTTAAAATCAAAGTCACACAATTGGCGAAACAGACAAAGTTTCCAATTTCGAGCTATGTTCTCGCAATGATCATGCACTAAATGTCGGAAACAGTCAACGAGATAAGACTGACATGTATTTTCTGAATGATGACGATAACGTCCGATTTAATAAGCGAATAAAAAATATGTTGCCGTAAGTCTAAGTCGTGGCATTGTATGATTAATTAAATGATTAAATACTGGATAAAATAATTAATTTTAAGACGGTGCATATGATACAGTACGCCGGTACAAAATTTTACTTTTATTCTAAATAAATAAGAATTACTTTATTCTTATATGTCGGTTGTCGACAGTCAATTGAAATCCGTACTTCCTACCAATATTACACTCAAATCGCCTTTATGACGTCGTATCGTTTTATCTTCAACATTTCGCAGAAATTATAAAATGATAACGAAGAATAATAAAGACAGATAACGGCATTTAGGTAAGATTACGAGTTTTGTATTATTGTAATGATAAGGGTCTCTTGTAACCTAGTAAACAGTATGGTTTATTTATTGCAATATTTACCTTTACAAAGTACAAGAAATGCGGGTAATTTTTATGCTTTGTAACGTAATTATAATAGCTTTCGAATTTAAGTGATGAAAACATCCGAATCGTCACAGAGTTGTAGTCATAAAAGACGTCCGGACGAATAGAAAGTTTTGCGTCCTTACCAATGTTGGCGTAGTATCCAGCGGGATGCATCGTGTGCGAACTGATCACCGGTCGAAACTTTCCATTTGACACTTACCTAAAATAAACAAAACATTCAATAAATAAAAACAAAAACTTTTTTTAATGATACATTGATGAGGAAATTTGATACATGATAGAGCTACGCTGCAGCTACGATCGGGGAAGGACCGTCCTCACATCATACCAATGTGAAATAGCAGCATTTTTGAATCATGTGTGTAGAGAACCGGCGAATTTTTTACTGGAAACAAGGCGTTCATCTACGATAAATGTAGATGTCTATTGGCCACAACATCTATTTTCTATCAGGTAGACTGTGTATTCGTTTGTCCCCCTTTTTCTATAAAAAGTTGCAGTTAAAAAAATAATTCAATTTAATATCATTCAAATAAACGTAAATGAGATCGTCCGAAACAAATGCAAGTCTAGTACAAGTACGACTATATTCGCTATTTTACATGACGTAGTTCGAAGTAAAAGTTTTTTGTCGCATGAGTAAACAACTATAAAGCGTTGCCAACTTTTAGTGCTTTCAAAAATCGTATTTTAAATGTTCATGATTCATGCAATTTATAAGCGATTTGATTTTTCAATGGAGTTAATTCTGAAAGAAATATCGTTGCGGCATGTCGCAGTGATGTTCCTATTAAAGTCAACCAAATATGTTTTATACAGCTTCAAAGAAATGAGGCTACAGGTAGGTTAACCTGTGAGGAATAAAATATGTATGTGTTGGCTTTGCACACACACCTACGCAGATGGACTCTACACGCCAATTATTATAATTTTTTTATAGAAGAAGGTGCTAACGAGCATGCGGTTAACCTGATGGTACTCATAAGTTTTCTTTAACTCTTTAATCTTATTATAACTCTTCTACGTGTGTACATAGATCAATGGTCGATGGTTGATTATATATGTTACTCCAAGTTCTTAGATTTTACCGAATTAGAGAAATATTATAAAGATTATTATGTTGATCACAATATTTTTAAAACAGTACTTTCCAACCTAATAAAAATATATGTACAATCAATACATTTCCAACCGATATATGGAAAGCCATTTCAAATTCAAGTGACATTCAATTTAGCCAGACTGCATTACTGGATAGCAATGCACGCGTCCATTGTGCATGGAATATTCGGCATAGGGGCCAAAATGAGAGGGTCGGCTGCATATTCAGGCCGAGGCATGCGGAGGCGAGCACACGTGGCTTCCACGGCAGCCTGCTTCGGAATCTGACCAAATGCCCATCGGGGCCGATTGTTAGCTGAATAGCGATAGCTTATTTATGAGATTTTGCTGACTGCGGCGCGAACAATCCAACAAGGCGAGAGATCAGTACGAGGAATTTTGAAATGTACGTTAATTGACTGTTGAAATTCATTTCCTTTTAACTAGATTTATAACTTTATATACGTATGTAATGAGTCTATTTCTAATTTATAATTGTGTAAGTTTTTGAATAAGATTACTTTTAATTGAAGTATGTGAAGTTTTCCTTAAATAAAATTATAATGACAGAATAAATGAATAAAAAAATATATAATATGCATTCTACTGTTTGTCGTTTTCAGAAATCAGATGCTATTCTTATTTAGATGTCTTAATAACTATCCATAAGTAATCAACTAATGGAAATAACCCTCTGCCAGGAATGGATAATTTTCCTTTTAACAAACCTTTAGCACTTTTGACGCTGCTTTTTAAATAATTAATAGCATAGAAAAAAAATTGATAGCAACCACATAATCCTTATATGATGGTTCAAACATTACGGAGCTTAAAGAACATCGCCAAAACAAATTCTATCTTCTTTTTCTTATTTCGTCTATGGAATCTAATGCACAAATATACCTTTTCCAGAATACGCCAAATAACGGATTTTTTAACATTTAGGATTGTGCTTTGTGCTTGGAGGACGCCTATGTTCAGAAGTGGATTTGTTGAGCGCTATAATAATGATGAGGATGATAACAGATTTGCTTACATAGCATGACCCAAGAAACAGAACGTCCTGCCATGCGGGATGGTCGGGAACCCTAGTAAAAAAATGCCGGTTATATCTTGTGGCCTCCCATAGACGGCGGTATAACAACCTCGTATTTAAAAAAAAAATTAAAACTTTGTTATTCGAAATACTGACCCATATTATCAATTTTTTTGCACCTTACATTTCGAAAGAAATCTTGTCAAATTCCAGTGAGAATAATGAGTAATATATACGCTATAGTGTTTATTGTGTTTCTTACGATTGTTGACTAAGAATTTCACCTCAAAACCGCACACCTATGCTATTCCGTAACAACAGTGTAATTACAACCATTTACACTTACGACAAATCCCTTACGCACGAAACAATCGCCGGCGTTCTCCGCGCAGAGATAATCCTCATAAACAGCGATCAGCCTCGTGACAAACGATCTGTAATCCGTCCCGTTCGGTTTGGAAATCTCGCATAATGCCACCATTGTTAATTATAACTATAACACAAGACGCTGTGTCGCAAAATGTTGATGACGAAGAGACTGAAGTGAGATGTGCCGGCGTGAATACACCAAATGTTACATAGTTCAGACATAATCTTGTAATCACCTACAAAAGATAGCTTTCTAATCTTTCAATAAGGAGTTTTTGAGTAATGATGTACTTTATTTTTATCTGTGCATAATATTAGGCACAGATAATAGGATGCTAATGGTTTCTTGATAAGGGTTTTTATGTTTTAATGTTCCGTGCCAAGTTCAGCAGAACGAAACACTTATGATATCATCTCGGTATCTGCTTGTCTGTCACTGAGGATTTTCCGAGTGTTTTACGGAAACAAATGAAATTTATCATAGTTGTTAAATGAAGTTACGTAAGGTTTTAATAAATTTAAAGTTTTAAATAAGTTTTGGGGGATAAAAAGTGTAACTAATTTAGTTATTCATCTTGTGGGATATAAAACGCTATGCGCTGATTCTCGACCTTTTTTGGGTACTATATAACCTCTAGTCCGGAGAAAAACGGTTTTGCCAAAATTCAACATATTTATATATTTGCGCTATGAGTAGGTGAAACATGAAATTATCTAAAAACTTAATTTAAAAAATCCTGTGGTTTTCCTGAAGTCAAGAACTCATGTTATCTATTCGGTTTTTCCTTATCCTTGTGAGAGTACTCTGTCAGATTAAATGAAAGCAGTTTATTACTTTTAATCGCCTTTTATCACTCTTTTATTTGTTTTACTTAATTATTACATTTAGGAGTAGAAAACAATTTAATTTCTTGGGGAGTAAAAACACACTGTCACACTGACCGCCGATGGGTTTTATAGACCTTAATATTTTTTTTTACCGATAAGCACCTAGTATTAAGCGTACAATCAAGCGAGTAAAAATTCAAACGAAACAAAATTTAAAGAGTGTATTTTTTTAATAATATACTCGCTCGCTCCAAAATACTCGCTCGAATACTCGAAGACTCTAGAGGATAATATTATTATGAAATGATTTATTTAATTAATCATTATAATTGTAAAAAATAAACTGACATGCAGGAAGTCAATGGATGCAGGTGGATCTGGACCGTGTTTTGTAACAGTTTTTGGGGGAGACTTAAGTTCGGATAGATTTGTACTGGACAAACTGCCTAGGTGGATCTACAACTTTAGCATAACAAATATTCATTGTGTAATATACGTAATTAAATGGCTTATAATGTCTACCAACGTCTACCCTCTTATGTAGTCGGTTATTAGCTGGGTGGCATACTAAACTCAGGTCAAAGCTACTACAAAAGTACTGAAACTTCAAAAGGCACACATACCTAACTTTACGAGTTTGCCATACCGAAGAAGTAATTTTTGAAGGGAATTCACAAAAAAATGTTAATTAAGGTTACAACTGTTAGTATTTTATATGCCTCATGTTTACGCCTTGAAAAATCGACACGAACGTCTTTCTACACGAAACCGGTGCCAGTCAAATGCGATCGAAATGAGAGATTTCGGAAATCAGGCTTCGAATCTGACGGCATCGCTTTTCGGTCGTGGAACAAGACGGGCGGCGACCTTACCGCTTTGCTTAACATTACGCTTTTAACGACGGCTTATCGCCAAATCAAATCCGTACCGGCGATCAAAAAACAATGGGACATTAATAAACTGCGTTACTTTTACTGGAGCGGAGCGTAAAGTGTTCCGTCTCTATGAATTTCGTAGTCTACTTGTTTGGTAATAAATTTTTCCATTGAAAATCTCGCGACATTTTTTTCTACAGAATAGTAAAATTACTTATATTTAATGGATCGTATAAAATAATAACATTTCGTTTCTCAAAAGTCGTTTATTTTGTTTTCCACTCTCTCACAAGGTTTTTTTTTATAATATCTTAGTCATCTGCCATCATGTATCACAGCATCATAGCTTCTAGGTATTTTGATCGAAAGGTAAAAATGAGAAAATATTCCTTCCATAAGTCTGCATTATAAAAAAATATTCAAAATAAATTGTTGGCCGATATCTCCCCCATGAGTAAACAAGGGAATTATGCAAAGGCAATTTCCTTCGATTTTGCATATCAAGTAGGTTACCGTTAGATAGGGCTTTTAAAATACATAATGAAGTTTCTTATAGAGATTTCTAATAATTCAAATCAATCAATTACTAGCTGGTGTAACAACGAAGTCGATGGATGCAGGTGACTCAGGACCGTGCTTTGTGGCATTCCTTGGGGGAGGCCTATTTTCAGCAGTGGACTTGTGAAAGGCTGTAATTTAAAAGGTTAAATTCTGGAACATTCAGACATTTTTTTATGTAAACATTCAATTAAAATGATAACAAGCACTAAAGCATTTAAACTATTTAGATAAAATATTTAGAGACAATCTGCGCAGCGCAAAGGGCGAATAGGGAACGGGCTTTGCGGATATTCTAATCTGCACTTGGTTGGCACTTGGCAAGTTTTTTCTGCTTTAAAGCTTACAAAGAAATCTATTTTGTATGAAAATGATGATGATGTGGTGATAAGGAATAATGCCACAGATAATGCTATTGTTACAAAAAGGACC